ATGTTAAATCGTGGGAGTATATCGAATATCTGAAATATTTTCTGACACGAAAATAGCTGATCAATCGAGCGAATATCGTGCGGAAGATGAAATAAGAGCGAAAAAAGAGCGCGACAAAGGCGCTCAGAAATCAAAGTGATGTTAACAGTTTCCTTCGATTATCGTGGTGTTGTGCCTAATCAATTCCTTCCGCCCGGACAAACTGTTAACTCTTAGGAATATTTTTTATGGTATTACCCGTCGTTTCGGTGAAGCTATTCGCAAAAAGCGGTCGGAATGGATTTAAAAAAAAACAAAAAAAATTAAATTGATCATAGTTGTTGTACACAGTACGAGAGTTGCAAAAAAATGGCTCGATGAGTGTCGGTATTACAAAGAATAAGTAACTATTAGTGTCAGTTCAATGTCGTCTGAATATATCGTTCCTATCCTAGTAGTATACGGCTATCATTTAGAATAAATGTACAAAATAAATGCTTGCTATCCATCTATCGAAATGGAAAGAGATGCTGTAGCAATCTAGTAATGGCGTCAAACAGTTTGGCTTTTAAACACAATGATGTTTTGGTTTAGCCATTTCCGATTGGTAAAGGCAATGAGAAGACGTAATCATTCATTAATGAAATAAAGAATGAAGATAAGTGGTTTTAAAAGAAGATACATAGAGAACCATATGATATCCAAATTCCCTTAAAGTCTCGTAAAAAGTCGGCAAAGTTGCAGCTTTCATCTCGAAAGTAGAAACAACACATCATTGTATTGAAGCGCTTTGTCGTTCCAATTCGACCATTGTAAGATGTTCATTGTAAGGTCAGTACATTTATTTGGTATGTGAAAGTTTGAATCGATGAAACCTTAGAGCGCATTAATCGATCCCCAAGGAAATCGAAATCGGTATACTAACTTAATTATTTAGTTTGTTGCCTTGAAAACCCCCAATAACCAGCGTAATAAGCGCCCCGCTTAGAGGTAAAATTTGCCTCGCTCAGTACTCGTCTAGTGTACTGCAACATATGTATATGGGAAGAATTAATTTCAAAATGAATGCCAAAATTATATGACAAAACTGATAATACGAATAGGATAATGATTATTGACGCAATAAAAATCGTTCAAATTTGCATACAATAAAGCTTTAAGAATATCATATATTGGCTTTTTAGGAAATGCATATATATTTCAGTGCATTTGAGTGGATTCAATTTATTTTTGTTTATTGAGTTCATGCACATATGTGCAATAAATAATAGCGAGACGAATTTGTTCGTAGATGTATTCTACGAGTTTCTTTAACACCCTACATCAGGGTATATCGACTTTGTGCGAATATATGAAACACTCACTTTTTATTATATCAATGTCGAGTCAGAAAATAAATTCTGACATGAACATATTCATCCGTCTGTCTATTCAACTGTCTGTCTTTTCGGTTTTCGTCTTTTCGCATATTTTCATTTACAGGTGACCACTGTTCAAAATGGATTAGATCGGATCGTTTTGACGATCACTCCTCATACACCAAGTTATTTGCCGAAAGTCTTTGTACGTAAAAAAAATATGTGAAATTTTTCGTATTTGCCTTAACAAAAATAAGTGGAACTAGCATTTTAGAATACAATATGAGACTACAAAGTATACATACATATAAATATATATATATGTTTGATCACAAGATCCAAGTTTTACTATTTTATGATGAGAGCCGGTGCAAACTAATGATCTGACAAGTAAATTAATACATGATACATTTAGATTACGAAGACATATTCTTCGAATGTCTCTGCCTAATAAAAGTTTTCATAAAATGTAAGCCTTTACATGACAGCAAAGTCGAATTTTTAATATTTTGACATTAGGTTGTTCAGAAAATCATTTCGTTCTTTTTTTTTTACCAAATTAAAAGACGATTTTTTTCTAGTGGATAAATATAGTAATTTGAACGCTCGAATTTGATAACTGCAATCTCTCAGTGATCTTACGGATTGTTATCCGTCAGTTTGCATCAGCAAATCGCTTTGTTTTGTCCTCATCCGCTTCAACTAGCCTTCTCGAACGTCATACACCTTCGATATTAAAATTGTCGGAATGAAATTGTGTAAAACAGTCTTGGCATTCACATCTTCTCCATATCCATTGGATAATTTTTTTGATAGCGTGAACAATATTGTTACTTTCTCAATAGTGGAAAGATAAAATATGCCGAGAATGCTCGTACTCCAAACACTATTTTGTTGAATCAATGAATCTTTCTCACAAGCCAGCCTTCCTGTATCGGCCGTTAAAATATATATTATGAAAATATTGCTTAAGCCTCATCTTAGCTGTGAAAATATGCAATTAAATCTTCTTTTGGAAAAAAAAAAAACAAACGAAGTAACTTTCCGAATAACCTAATAGTATGATGAAGATAGGTGAAGAATTTTATTAGGCATTAAATGATCGGCTTCCTCTGACTGTAAAGTTTTATTTTTTATTATTGTAGTACTCGTCTTTAATATGTAATCATAAAAGGAGTAATTAAAAGCATTGTAACAATACATATATATATATATATATATATATATATAACCTTTCATAATTGGCTTAAAAAGAAAAGAAAAAAAAAATGTTATGATTAAAGACTGTTTCCCTTATACTTTTTCGGAATATGTTTAGAATTTCTTAAAATTAATTAACTTAATTAAATCTTCTGATCATTTTAACAATTATGATATAATTTTCTTTATAAGCCACAGAATATGATTCACTTGCAGTGGGCAGAACTTTGAGTTAATACGGAATTACTTTGAGATCTCTTTACATGACAAAATAAAATCGAGTTCATACTCGAACAAAATGATTGCGTTTTTAATTGAGTGGCGAAGGAAAAAGCGCATGTAGTTGTTTTATGTTGAAATTGCTTTCCTCTATGCGCAACAAGACAGGGCAGTATGTTGGGCAGCAAATAGCTGTTTATAGTGGATGCACATATTATTGAGCAGGATAAAAGATGAGCTGTGATCATTTATGAAGTATGGATGAATGTCAGAGTTATGTTTTTATATATCTGTTACTTAGCACTGGATACGGATACGGTCTGAAATCTTGGTTACCATGAAATAACCTATTGTACGGATATGCTAGTTATGCGTTAGATTGGGTAAAAATTCAACATTTACTTAAATCGTATGTGTGTGTAAATCTAAATATATTAAGAAAATCGAATCAGAAATCTTTACAAAATCTTTACAAAAAAATTTATTAAATTTATGGCAGTTGTAGTGTTCCTAGCCTCTCTATAAAATAGCAAGTGAGAATTTTATGTTTTGTTCAAGTTGCGAGTTAAATAGTTAAATTAAAAAGCCTTACATTCATTGCCTTTTTAAATATATTTTTTACCACTGGTTAGTAGTTAAATATGAGTATACTTTTAAAAATTTATTTCAGCCTTTGTAAGAAGTTTTCATTTTCTTCAAATATGTTGACTATGCTAAGAGAGTACTCGTATATTATTATAATTATTATTATTTTTTTGTGTTTTTGTGTTTTTTTTTTTTTTTTTTGTATGTGATGATAGGCGACAAAAACTAGGCGTTATTGAAATTATGACAGGTGTGTGTAATGAAATTCGTTCTAATTAAAGATTTCATGGCAATATCTCGCGATTGTTTTATTTAGCATTGGGGGACTTATAGTGCTTAAGAGAAATCGATTTTGTTACATATATAATTTCGAGAATATGCTCATATGCTTCACATGATTTCATAACTAATTCATCTAAATGTTGCGTAAAAATTGGAATTTTTTTTTCTTTATTCATTTTTCTCTTTATTAATTTTGTTTTTTTTTTTTTTTTTCTTCAACTATTTAACTAGAATTTTTTTTTTGTTTGTTTTTTCCGGTTGGGAGCTTATGGGTTTTCTTATTATACTTCTACATATAATGGTGTACTTATATGGGTGTACTTGTGTACTTTGAATGTGTTTCGATTTTGGGATATATATGTATGGATGTGTGTGCATATGTATTCGTCTTTATACTTTATGTGTTTTTGTATTCCAAGCGCCTGTATTTGTTCTAAATGGGTGTCTCTGGTTTAACTGAGTGCCTGTGAATATGTCGGTTTTGTTATTTAATTGTTTCAAAAAATCGTTGTGTATTTATGGAAAGTATGTATTATTACAAAAGAAGTTTCCGAAACACATTCGATTATATTTTCAGTTAGGTTCGAATCATTGGTTCAGCGTAGAGTCTACAATGTCGTTTATTTAAATTTTTCTTCTTCTTCTTCTTCTTCTTCTTCTTCTTTTCGTTTCATTTTGAATTGGGGATAGTAATGATCAAGGTGTATGTGTAAACGCAAAAACATCATTTGTTAAGATTTTGGCAGTGTTTTAACCAAAAATGTTCTTAGGTTTTGTTAATTATTTATTTCGTTTTTATACTCGTTCTGTCTTTCTTTGTGTTTATTCATATAATAAGTACACATAATGTTATTAAATTATTTATTTTTCTTAAGTTTTATTGCTTTCCATTTTTTCTTGTTGTGTTGAGCTTTGTATAAATAGGTTTCTCTATTAATATAAATTTATTATTAATAATATTATATTTTGTTTCTAACAATTGATTGCTTATATATATAGAAAACTACATTTTGTTTTGTTTCTTCATTTATTATATATATATACATATATATATATACATATATTTATGTAATAAATATATATATATATATATATATATATATATATTACATATATATATACACATATATATATATTCTAAAGTGCAGTCCCAACTTAAAGTATCCGTACAGTTTTCTTAGATGTTGAAAATTTCAACTAAAAAAACAAAATAAATAAATAAATAAAAATAATGGAAGAAATAAGGAAAAAAAGGAATAAATGTACAAAAATCCTAATTAAAAGAAAACACTATGGCAACGCTATTGCAGAGAGTTCGGTTTTTTTTCTCTTTCGCTATGATATAAAGAAATTTGCTCTTCATTTTCATATACATTGTATTTACATTACTAAACAAATTACTGCTGATCCATACTTTTGCTTTGCTTTTTAAGAGCCACCACCATGTATTTACGTCCAAAATACGAAGAATCTGTTATGATTTTTTTAAGAAAGAGAAAAGAAAAAGATACAGCAAGAAAAAAACAAAAAACGAAAAGAAAGCATAAATAAAATGATTTAATTTTCATTTACTCTCTTCTTTATATCATGTCAGTGATCGTTACAGATGGGTAAAGAAACAAGAAATGGAAACGTCAAGAGAATGGAAAATAGAGACACGGATATAAGCTATGAAAAAAGAGATAGGCGGAGTACGAGAGACGGAAAAAATAAAAAGGAAGCAATAGATAGATAGAGAGAGAGAGAGAGAGAGAGAGAGAAAGTCGATAGAAAATTGCTAAGAGTGCAAAATTTGATTTATTTTTTGCGTAAGAAATCCGTGTATTTGCGTGCTCGCTTGCGTACTTTCTTAAAAGCGTTGCTCAGTTTAAAGCTTTCAGTGTTATGTTGCTGATAACGATGATGATGATGATGATGATGATGATGATGAGCTTGATAGATCGATTGTGAGCATTGCTCTTGTTGCTGTTGTTGCTGTTGTTGTTGCTGCTGCTGCTGATCATACGATATACATTGTCTAGTACCCGTGGGATAATCATAGTGAACATGCTGTGCCACCGACGGATGGGAATAGGAAGTGGCTGCTGGATTAACTGCTGCCGAGTAAGTGCTTGAGTTTGCTATTGAATCGGGTGAGCGTGGTGTCCTTGGTGTCGACGAATATTGGCAGCTGCCCTGCCGTGATAGCAAATTATGCTCAGATGCTGCATCAAATGATTCAAATGATACGCGATTCGGTTCGGGTGATTGTAGCGATGATGAATGTTGACTTGATGACGTATTACCGGTTGTTTCAGTTGCACTATTAAATTCTTTAGGCAATTCATCAATTCCTAACGGTTTATCAAATATAGAGCTCGCCGACATATTTGTATAGTCATAAGCCGGATAGGCAAACGGTAAGTAATTGCCGCCATGATGAGTATCTCTAAGGCCGTTTTCTCTTTCCCGGACCTCTCCCACCGCTGTGTTTATAAATTTAACTTCATTGGCATTGCGTTCCATGCAAGAGCTAAATACAATATTAATATTGTTCGTACTTGAGGATAAATTTATGTTAGTAGGTGATAGAGGTGTACCACTACTGCATGATGAAACCGCACAAGCTCCTACACATGTTTCCGTAGTTGTAACGTTTTGATTTAGATTGGTCTCCTTACTAGAATTGCGCCGGAAGCGACTATCGTAGCTGCGTAGGCTCTCGGCCCCTTCCATGGAGGATAGAGTGTTCGATGCCGCGTTATTGTTGTTATTCGCAAAATTATTTTTGTATTGAAATTCCAAGGCATTACTCGGCTGAAAAGGATACGTTTTGGCATTGTTTAAGACACTTCCAGCCTCTTGATTACCTTTCGATAGATATTGGTGTATGTCTTCGCTTGTTATTTGTAAGTCTTGATCCAAATACGTATTGCATTGTATGTAGTTGTTACAACAGTTATTATAAGATTCGCCTTCTTGATGGAATTGTACGGTGGTGGATGTCTCATATGGTTTCGGGCTTTCACAACACTTTCGAGATGTAGAAGGGTTTTCATCTCCCCTAACACAACTTTGGGTTCTTTGAGTCCGGTGATATCGGCCACTAGCAGATTTCTCATGATGCTCTGCATTAACGTGCTCTTTTTCTTTGGTCTTTTGCGCGCCGGTGGAAGTCGATGTATTTGTCGTAGTTTTTCCTTCTAAAGTGTCGGTAGGTGATTTACTATCAGCTAAGAAACTCCAACGAATGGGCGATGGCGAGCAAGCATATTCTGGTAATTCGTTATTTAAAGCGTCCTTAGATGTTTGATGTTCAGACTTCGATCTATCACCATTTGTGATATAGTTATCGTCTTCATATATTCTAGATCGATCGAATACTGATGTCAATGAACCTATTTGGCTGTTAGGTCGGGAAGTGTTTATGGCACGTAATGAACTATAACTTGGTTGACGTTTATTCAGTTTCTTTTGACGGAAGGTTACATTCGCCGATTTAATGGAATTGTTACGGCTTAGTGACGAACGTGACCCATATAAACTAGTCGAATCGGTCTGATAGCAATAGTCAGAGGATGTGCAACAAGATGAAGGTCGCCGAGAAGTGGTACCGTAAAGATCTTCAGCAAAATATTGAGCTAATTCCGTGCGTGATGAACAACAACCAGAGATTTTACTGGCAAAGTGTTCATGAAATTCACGTTCACTTCCGCATGAAGGGTCATTGCAGGTATTAAGCGAACTATTGCAGACGTCATTGACTGAGCGATGATGTCGTTGTTGCTGCTGGTGCTGCTGTTGTTGTTGCTGTTGTTGTTGTTGTTGCGAGCAGGTCTCATTATGGGCACCAAATGAAGGCAAATGAGAATTCAGATGATCAACAGTTGAATGTTGATGTTGATGGTGTTGACTCTGTATCCTTTTGCGATTGCGATAATGATGGGAATGATGATGCGAATGGGTATGAGATGATGTGCTGCGTACGGATGAGCGTAAGGGTAAATTACGTGTTAATGTTTCGGCTATAGGTAGCTGCTGATCGTGTACAATATGATGATGATGTGAGTGACCACTACCGCGATGTGGAGAGGTACGACGACTGTGCGGTGAAGTATGCCGGCTGTGTGGTGACGTATGCCGGCTGTAAGGAGAGGCATGCCGACTGTGCGGTGAATTGTGCCGACTGTGATTTGAAGTATGCTTGCTATGAGGTGATGTATGACGACTGTGCGGTGAAGTGTGTCTACTAGGATGTGGACTATGGCTATGGCTGTGCTTGCGCTGCATTTGCTGGTGACGTTGTGTAGTGGCAACAGTTTGTTGCTGCTGGTGAAATGGCAGTGAATATTCAGTAGTGCAGTGTACATGTTCGTGTTCATCGTGTTTAAGCTTGGAAGGTGTTTGCTGTTGTTGCTGCTGTTGTTGATGTTGCTGTTGTTGTTGTGGCTGTTGCGGATGATGCATGTGCTGCAGGTGCATTTGATTATCATCACACATAATATCTTTTTCATAGCTACAATGTACGTGATGATAATGATGTTGTTGTTGTTGTTGTTGTTGTTGTTGTTGTTGTTGTTGTTGTTCGTTTTGCTGTTGTTCTTGTTGATTTTGCAAATCCTGTGTAATTTTTGGTTGCTGTTCTTGCTGGGATTTTTGTTCAGCGCTCATTGAATGTACAGTGGCAGTTTCAGGATGTGAGGCGTTCCTCAGTCAAGGCCCGCTGTTCTGGTAAGCATGTGCTTGCTGACGAAGGTGACGGCGCACAGAGACAGCGTTCAGGCCCTGGAGTGTACTTCGGTCTCCTCCTGAACAAACCTCGAATGCAGCTACATGAAATTTGTATACATAAAATACGTTTTTTACAAGAATTTTTCGAAAAACATTTTACCGCCTAAACTATACTAACTAACTCTCTATAAATAAAAAATGAAGCTATAGAGATTTAGGAAAAGGAGAGGGATGCGAAGAAGATCTATGAGAATTAATTTCAAAAGCAAAATCCACAAGTGCTTAAGTTTTCAGGGCAGATCAAATATATATATATATATAAATATAAAGTAAGTAATTCATGCACACATGCTTAAAATGTAAAAAGCTTGAAAGACAGCAAATGAATGATTTTAGTATGCATTGCAAATTGAATGATGTAGGAAAACTATGATCCTTTTTTTAAACTCACAAATAAACAAAAAACTAAATGAATAAATAAATAAATAAATAAATAAAAATAGAAATCAGACGTTTCTAAAATAATTAATAAGAAATATAAAATTTATTTTTGGCGTAACAGTGTTTCTTAAACTTTTTTCGGTGTTTTTGTAGACATTATTGGCATTTGCGGTGATGTTAGGAAAAAAAGAGAACAATAACTATTACCTTATAGTTCTGAAATGGTTTGCGGTGCTTGTTTAGTGTAGGTGATGTAAACTTAAGGCTGTGATCTTAGCTGTTAACCAAATTGAATATATAAGGTTTAAAAAGATACATACACACACGCATACACATGTATATTGCTTCAGAGTAGGTTTAATAGTTGACTTAATAATAAGAATTTTTTGCTATCTCCACTAGTTTGCTGTTAGAGACAATCTCACAATAATAAAATTAAAAATTAAAAAAAAATGATTTTCTATCTAATGTTTTGAGGTAAAAAGTCATAAATTCTCTATCGCTTGCTCGTCCGACGTAACGAAAGCTTAAATGATTAATAACACTTGCATCAGCTTTTTCTAATATAAAGAAGTATTATCGGTTTTCTCCCGTTCTCTTGAAAGCTTAAAAAAAATAAAATAAAATTTTTTTTCCATTTTTCAAAAACTTTTAACAACAAAGTGGTGCAGGTGATTAACAAACAACAACAGCAACAATTATATTTTTTAGATGTTTAAACTTTTCTTCTGGGTGTTTGATAATTAGTAAATGCCTCTGATTGTATTGCATAAGTTTGCACATGAAACAGACATATTATATATATTCAAGTATTTACGCATATACATACATATGTACGCATATATACGCATATATATATATACAAATACATATATATATATATATATATA